ATCTAAATTCACGATGAACGTGTTTCACTGATTTCAATGGGATATGAGTTTGCTGACTTTAGCTGCAGTCCAGAATTTGTACATTTAATACTAAGTTACATTAAAACTAATGGATTTTCATTTTTCTTTTCTGGCCACCTATAGAAAAAAAAGTAAACATCTACACTGAATTTGTTAATTCATGCTGCAATGCATATATCACAACATTAGGTTTCCTTTTTAAAGCTTCTGCTGTAGTGCTAACTGCATATTTATGAGAATACAAGGTGTAAACATTATCCATAATATATGTATATTAGCAAATGGAAGCTCACAGTGGATACACATTCACCCTAATTGGAGCTTACCAAGAAGAATCCTCAAGTGGCTTCGAGATATTAATTAAGAAATCCATTTTAATTTATTTCTTAATAAGGCTATTTAAACCCCTAAAACAAATTCTAAAACAGCCTTCCCAATCCTGGCATTCCCCAAATTTATTTATATTTATAATTTAATCCATTAGTGTATTGTTACTTATGTACAAAATACTGCAAATATGCTGAATATTGTATTTGATTAAATACTTCATTAAAACACAAAGCATAATAATTAAGACATTCAATAAAACATTCAAATAGGGGATACCTGGGGGAATAGATAGGTTTTTAACAGAATGTTACCTGGCAGAACCCAGGAAGCAGGTCCTTTCTGTCAAAATATTTTGTGTTTTGAATTTTTATTCTATATTATTCACCCACTGTAAGATGAGCAGCTATTTCAATCAAAGAGAAAGAGAGAAATAAATATAGATGGCTTCTAAACAACAGACAGAGATCATTTCAAAAACTGGTTGCTACAATTTATTTCAGATTACATCATCAGCAATCCTCAGATATTGGTGCAAGCAGTGGGAACTTCTCTGATGATGTTAGAAATAACCCTGGCAGCTATTCTTGTCCAATGGCAAAACTTGAACTTGGCTTGATAATTGTTCAGTAATCCATAGAATTGCACTTGTTTAGGTGTATGTGGATTTTATGTCCTTTGCTCCAAAGTAACTTAAAAAAAATCTGACTTCTTTATCCTGCTTTTATTTTTTTAATAAATAATTCAAGGAGATAACATACATTCTTCCTCTTCCTCTTTTCCTCACAACACAATCTTGTGAGATGGGCTGGGCTGAGACAAGTGACTGGCCCAATGTCACCCAGTTGACTTTCATGCTTAAAGCAGGACTAAAACTTATATGTAATCTCTTTGCTTCTAGCACCTTAATTAGCCAACTTTTTAGAGTGAATTTTAGAGTGAATCTCAACAGGTGAAATCTAACTTACATTATACACCCTCATTTTCAACCATTTTAATGACAAAATCAATCTTACATTTTGATTTTAGTCTAATTTATTTCCATGTATTGCATGATTCAGCATTAAGAAAAAATATTCATTGCTATATATGGTAAGAAAAGGTAACAACATTAGAAAATCCAATAAACATTTTTTAACTACTTTGGGCTGTATCTGTTGAGTCTTTTCCCAGATTGGTAGTGTGTCTTCTCTGTATGACTCACAGAATAGTATCATTAAAGAAGAACATTAAAAATTCTGCAAGAATAGAAACTTTCTAACCCTAGTAATAGCTAAAATGTAATTATTCAGTAGGAATAGTAACAAGAATACGAAAAAAGCAATTTGAAAATGCCTTCAAACAAGCATATACCATACATTCCTGTTCATTTCCTGCCCAAAAATATAAAATGGAATACAGTAGTTTATTCCATTGTATAGATCAAATAAAGCAACAAATTTATCATTCAACTTGTGCCAAAATAATATTTTCAGAATCCATATTTTAGCAATGTTTCCCAGGAGCATTATTTATTCATTTGTGATTCTAGCCACAGGAGAAGATTCAACATACATGTCTCATTCTAATCGTAACAACAACAACATAAAATCTGACTCCTTCGGTTTCATCATGCAGATAGCAGAATACAGCCCTTCTCAATTTGAACTCTTCCAGCAATGGTGAAATTTAATTCCTATAATCCCCAGTTAGCAGTGTTATCACATTTGAGATTGAAAACCAATACATTGTCAGAATATAGTTGGAAGGGACCTTGAAGGTCTTCTAGTCCAGCCCCCTGCTCAAGCAGGAAACCCTATACCAGTGGTAGCGAACCTATGGCATGGGTGCAAGTGGCAGCACTCAGAGCCCTCTCTGTGGGCACACATACCGTTGCCCCAGCCTTACCTCCCCCGTGACCCCCTCCGCACCAGCAGTACCCCTGGAGGACAGTTGTCCCTGAGCGTGCCCCATGCGGAGCAGCGCAGCCAAGGACATGGCAGCCAGGCAGTGTAGACAAGACTCTGCCCTCATTCCCCATCGTGCACAGTTGATGCTGCAGGGCGCGGGCAGAGGGTGTGGCCACCATGGTGCTGCTGGGCTGCCTGGCCAATCTGCAGCGGGGCCAGTTTTTGGACACTCGGTCTCTAAAAGGTTCGCCATCACTGCCCTATACCATTTCAGACAAGTGGCAGTCCAGTCTCTTCTTAACCTCTAGTGATAAAGCACCCACAATGTCTGAAGGTAAGCTATTCCCCTGGTTAATTGTCCTCACTGTTAAGAAGTTTCTCCTTAATTCCAGGTTGCCTCTCTCCCTTGATTAGTTTCCATCCATTGTTTCTTGTCTTGCCTTCTGATGCAAGTTGACTCCCTCCTCTTTGTGGCAGACCCTCAAATACTAAAATACAGCATAAGTATTTCAAATAAGTCCTTCTCTTCTCTAGACTGGCCATACATCTGAGTATATGAGAAGGTTGACAAAATATAGAGCAGAGCACTTCAATGCCAGTTGCATACATTGAAACAGCAATCTGGTCCTGCCTGTTGAGGATTTTGCAGGCCATCATAACAATAAACAAACAAACAAATAAAAACCTGAAAAACTGCAATAAATTAGAATATACTGTGCAATACATAACTGGTTGCATTTCTTGCACTCCTTAATGGTCAATTTTACTTCTGAGAAAGGAATAATAGCTTTTTATTTATTACAGCAAAAATAAAGAACTAATTAAAAAAAGAGAAATGTCTATCAACATAAGTTCAAAGAAAGAAGTTTACTTTGGCAAAATAATGCAATAGTTAAAATAATTCTGCTTCGTGAATAGAAGATTAAAATCTAAGAGTGTTTGTTATATTGCTCACTGTATTTTATTAACTTAATGATGCAAAGTCCTATCAACAGAGTCAATATTAGGCCTTCAATACTCTTCCAGGTGAAGAATATCAGTTTCAGTTTTGCTGTTTACAATAACTGAACATTTTCTTTATCTCATATTAATTAAATTTAACACTGGGGGGAGGGGGGAGGGAGGGAGGGAGGGAGGGAGGAAGGAAGGAAGGAAGGAAGGAAGGAAGGAAGGAAGGAAGGAAGGAAGGAAGGGAAGACAGTCCTTCTATGACCTTAAAAAGTATTTTACTGGTTGGAAATGAGCACATAATTCGAAATCCCCTTTTGTTATGATTTCTAGATTGATAAGCTTACATTCGTTTATTTAGAAGTCTCACCAAATTCTGTAGGGTTTACATCTCAGAAAATTGATACAGAGTTGGGCTGTAAACTTATTTATTTTTTTGCAAAGACATGTCATAATTTCTTTAAATAGCAAGAATTAAACCTGTAAAACAATTTCTAATTTCTGTAGTATAATGACATAAATATCCCATAAATATATGATTCACTTAAGAGTGCTTCTACTAGAAAGATGAATGCCACATTATAAAAAATGAACATCAATGAAACTAGAGAAGGCATGTAATCTACAAAATGTAATTGGTTGAAATACACTATATAATTTAAGACTTGAATATAACAAATTTATGAGCAAATATTTATGTGAATTAAAAATAATACCAATGAAGGAGAATATTTGTAGCTCAGGGTTGAAATGAGCGGTCCTTGGTGCTCTCTGAGCTTGCTAGGCTAGCACTGATGATATTACCTAGTTAGGGTAATGAAACATTTACAAGAAAATAAGCAAGCTTAGAGAGCATCAAAGACCCCTAAAAATAATACTGACAACATCTAGTTTCTCTTTAATTTTTCTTTAGGTATTTTATAATAAACAAATTGCTTGTGAAATGACCAAAGAGACAGAATATTAAAATCACAAATATTGCTATTATGACCATAATGGAATCTTACAGATTCTGAGGAGTCTGTAATGATCCCTGAGCTTGATTGTTTACTTGCAGAGTTTTCATTACATCAAGGAACCCTCATTTCTGTCCTTAGCTACAAATATTCTCCTTTATGGATCCTACAGATTCTTTTACAAAATTCAGAATTCAGATCATGAATACAGTTATTTTAATGCTGCCGATAAAATATGCAATCAAATAGAAATGCTGCCAAATGCATGCAGCTACTGCAACATGCAACACATACCTATCCAATACTCCAAAATATCTCATGGAAGATACAAACACATACACATACACAAATGCACGGACACACAGATCCTACATTATTTTTTGCATTGCAGTATTATTTTTTTTGTAGACGACCAACTGGTTTAGATACAGAAGGAGGTAGAATATCAAAGAATAAATTCTTTTAGATTACCTTTCCCAAAATAGAAGAACACAGAGATAAAAAGAGGTACTTGAGATAAATAACAGAGATAATCATAAAACCAAATGAATTTTTGAACACAATTACTATAAAAAGCTCAAAGATATTGAGATCAAATTGTCATTATCATTTAAAGTTGAGGACATTCCGAATATAAACAACATATCTAGTTGACTAGCAATTTCCATTTTTTTGCTCTAATGCCAAATTACAAACATCCTGAGTTTTAGCTAGTTCACTATGGCTGTATATTTTCTAATAAACTCAACAGAAATAAAAGCTGAACATGATGAAAATAACAATATACATATGTGTGTATGTGGTCTTTTCCTCTAGGTAAGAGAAGTATAAAATTAAATCTTTGTAACTATTTACTTACTAAGCACTTGGCAATAGAGGGCCTGTAAACTTCTCTTCATGGTATCATCTGCTCTTGGTTGTCTTGCAATCTATTCATGTTTCTGTCTAAGGGACAGAGAAATATATGTACAATTAACTTAAAAACAATAACAAAAAAACAATGCCAGTTTATTTTCTTCTGAAACCCTGCATAGCAATTCAAAGTGGCTCAGAAGAAATACAACTAGGGAAATGTCAAAAATGGAACTGTTCTTACACATTGGTAGCCAGGATGCCAGTTCTAAGAAAAAAAACACAATATGCAAATTGATTGGTGAATCTAATGGTGGGATTCAAATATGTGAACAACCGGTTCTCTGTGTGGATGCCGCTTCCGGAAGTCCATTCTGGGCGTGGGCAACAAAAAATTAGCTACCCGTTCTGCCAGCTGGTGTGAACTGGCTGAGCCCCATCATTGGGTGAATCTCAAGTAAGGGATGTAGCAGACAGGAGAATGATAATGCTCCTGGGACTGCTGTATTCTATAGTTCACTACAATGAAATATGTTTATAATCTGCAAAAATGAGTCCACATATCTGCAGTTTTGGGTATTTTATTCATGTGTAAAATGGCAGATGGCTTTTGTGCATGCATAACATCTTTTTTATTTCATGGTCTGTAAACATGATTTCATATTATTCACAATGGTTTGACTGGACTATAACTTGCTGTAAATAATAGGGCCCATCTGTATTAGTATTTCATTAAAATATTTCTAAGCATTACATCAGGGGTTCTCAATTTTTTTACCAGGGGATTCAAATCAGTGATACTAGACAATTCACAAAATGGCAGTTTTGCAGGAAGAGCCAGAGAACAAAACAATTATTACTGAAAGAGAATTTGTTTTATGAAGGAAGCATTATGTAAGTAAATTCAATATTACTATTAAAATATACAGTCTTCGCCTATTTTTATTTCTTCCAATACACCTTCAGGATGTTTGGCTGTAACTCATCATCCTTTCACTAAAGGCGAGATGAGGAGAAAGACAAGTTATATCTGAGATATAACTACAGGTTGTTCTCAACTTATGACCAGAATTCAGCCCAAAATTTATGTTGTCAAGTGAAACATTTGTTAAGTGAATTTTGCCCCATTTTATGACCTTTCTTACTACAGTTGTTAAGTGAATCACTGCAGTTATTAAATTAGTAACACAGTTGTTAAGTGAATCTGGCTTGAGCATTGACTTTGCTTGTCAGAAGTTCGCAAGCAAGTGACCACATGAACTTGGAACATTGCAATTGTCATAAATATATATTAGTCAAGTGCCAAGCATCTGAATTTTGATCCCATGACCGTGGGGATGCTGCAATGGTCATAAATGTGAAAAACAATCATAAGTCACTTTTTCCAGACCCCCCTTTAACTTTGAACAGTCACTAAACAAATTGTTGTAGGTTGTGGACTATCTGTACAGCAATCCTGGTGCATGAACATCCACGTAGAAATAAAGGGGACAGATGACAAATTGTATTGCAATTTTGTGACACAAACCCTGCCCCTCTTCTACATGTGATGCAACATTACACTCAAGTATTAAAGCAGTGTAGCATATCTTATGATGTCACAAAGCAGGATTCATCGTTTTGATACCTGTAGGATCCTAGTTTACAGGGATCTAGATCCATAATTGAAAAAGACTGCAATATATATCAGGAAAAGTTTTTTAAATGTATTTGAGCTCTCTTACTCAGAATTTTACCTACTCCTTTTCTATCTTTTATTTCACCCTTGGTAAATATCATGCACCTAATTTAATTGATTCATTGGCGTGAGAGAGAAGATAAATACCTGCTGATAGGAAATTGTTGTATTTAGATTTTCTACATGGTCCAGTCTCCTTTTAAAACAACTGCTTTTTAAACCCAAAGAAACTTGAAAAAATGTATTTTGCAGAGAGGGTAAGGAGATATGGGTTATGACAGCAACTGGGACTGTGAGGATTGTTGTCACTGGGCGATGAGGCTATGTGACAGCACACTTCACAACTGCATCATTTAGCGACGGAAGTTCTAATCCCAATTGCTGTCATAACCCGTGTATTAAATCAGAGCCACAGAGCTACACAATTCAGCCTTCTGATTCAGACTGAAAAATCAATCCTTAAGAACAATCTCACTATTTGATACATTAGAATATCCTCTGCCACCTTGCGCCAGTATTCGCTAGCTATTTTAATGCCTCCAACTATCATTTTTCCCTTAACTGTTAAAAAATGAATAAGACATCTGTGAAACAGGCAAAACTAATACACAAAACTCTTCCCCTGATTAAATGCCAAAGAATTTATGAAACTAGAAGTACTGTATTTGATTTGTAGAGACAAGTCTCTCAGGACTGCCACTTTTATTAGCTTCATTTGCCAGCAGAAGACGTGAGTCGTTCCCTTCTGTTACCACTTTACAGCTATTTATACACATAATTATAAACTCCTGCTTGAGTATGCCTTCTCTCTTAGTCCATGCTCTCAATTTTATTTTAAAAGAGGTTGTAATTGCAAGGAAAGCTGAATATTTCCTATAGGTTAAATACATTTAACTTCAGTGAAATAATATTTTGTGGATGATTATAAAAATTACCTGAAGACCAATATAAAAATGAGTTGCTTTTATATAAAGGTGGTAATCTTACACATATTTACTTCAAAGTAAGTTCTATTCTGAGTACGAAATACAAAACTATACTTCATACATATTATCTTGCCTTGCAGGGATTCAAGCAAGCATACCAGGAAGAGTAGCATCAATATACCCAAAAGGGATGTTACAACTTTTTAAAAAATATATTTGTTTTGCTGTTTTTTTCTTTTATGTAAATTTATATTGCCTATAAATTATTTGATTATTTAAAACATTTATATAGCCACCTGTCTTATATTGAAATCTGGGAAATTTCCAATTAGCAGTTGAAACTATATCAATAATAAAACAACATAATACATAAATATATTAAAACAATAAGACTTAAAACCAGCCATCAAAATTAAAACTCTGATATACAGCCCCTCATAAACTCTTCTTATCCACCTCACCCTATCCCAGCATGTGGAGGGAAATCCAGGTCTTCAGTGCTTTTGAAAAGCTAGGAGAGTAGAGGCTTGCCAAACTTCAGGAGAAGGGTGTTCCACAGATCAGGGGCTACTGTGGAAAAAGCAGGCTTCCTAGATCTTTTAATGTGACAATGTTTAAGGAAAGGAATTGGAGTTTGCACATCCTATCTGATCAGATGTATGTGGGGGGGAGTTGTCCTTAGGGAGAGGTGGGCCTACAGAAAACCTGGCCCTTGCCATATAGATGTTTAAAGGTTATAACCAGTACCTTGAATTGCACCCGGAAGGAAATTGGGAGTCAGTGCAGCTCACACAACAGAGATATTACCTGGGTAAACATAGAGAGACCCATCATGCTGTGTGCTTCCAGGTGACCTTCAAGGGCAGCCCCGTGTGGAGCTTATTGCAGTAATCCAAATAGCAAGTGATCAAGGTATGAGAGACCGCACTTGGCAAATATGATGAATCTGTGCAAAGGCTTCCCTAGCCCTAGCTGCCACCTGCTCCTCAAGCAGGAACTGCGAGTCTAGGAGGACTCCCAAATTGCACACTAACTCAGTCCAAAAGAGTGCCACCCTACCCAGAGTCAAAGATGGAATATTATCTGGGCTGGGAGGCTAAAAATCCAGAACCACTCCATTTTATCAAAACCAGTTCTTCCCCATCCAGACATTTACACAATTATGGCCAGAGCATGTGCTTTTCTCTGGAGAATAGAAACAAGAAATGTGTAATTTTATTCAATCCCTCCTCCTATGCAGCGTTCATCAATTCTGAATAGGGGCAGATATTTTTGTGTCCCTGTACAGTAACATAATCTTATGCACAACAGTTAATCATCATACATAAAAGGTAAGGGACAGCTAAGATTCTTACAGTCTAAGATACTGGAAATGTAAACACAATGCAGGCACATACTACCACATTTGGTGGACATGTGGCAAAGCTTATTGGAAAAAGATACATACGTGGTTAGAAAAAAATATTAGGTGAACAGGTGACTTTTAAACCTGAACTTTTTTTACTAGGTATAATGTCTGAAAAGATTAATAAGCAGAGTTTATATTTAATTTTACACATCACTATAGCAGCGAGAATAATCTTCACACAATACTGGAAGAATGAAGGATTGCCATCAGAAGAAGAAATAATCAGAAAAATATTGGAATATGCAGAGATGGACAGATTAACTATGAGACTGAAAGATAAAGAAGACACAGACTACTACCAAATTTGGGGTTTTATTGTTGGTTAGAGGAAAGAATGAAGGATTAGGAATCGAATATGTATGCTAACCCCAGACAACCCGTTGATTGGAAAAATTAACGTATGTATGCAAAAAAAACCCCAATAAAATCTTTATAAGAAAAAAATAAGATCCTTAGAGTCTATATGTATAGAGCTTTTTCTTCTTAAATGGTTTTTACATATTACACATTCAGTGTTGTGCCAAATGTATTTGCTGATGCCAACAGTCAATCTGGGTGCAAAATAAGCCCAATTCTGTGAAGATATAATAATAATACTAATAATAATAATAGTAATAATAATAATAATAATAATTATTATTATTATTATTACTACTACTAAATACCTGGGATGCAAAATCAACAAAGAAGAAAAACAAACTGTGCACCAGAAAAATGGAAGGTTAGACTAGAAAATAAGATCAGCAAGTTAAGTATAAGCACCAATTCACTGCAAGAAACAAACCAACTAATGTACAGCACAGCTGCAGTTATAACTGAATACCTGGGATGCAAAATCAACAAAGAAGAAAAACAAACAAACAGTGCACCACAAAAATGGAAGGTTAGACTAGAAAATAAGATCAGCAAGTTAAGATCACATGCAAGCAAGCTAGAACAGATGAAAGAAAAGAAGCTGAAGAAAAAGAAGACCAAAGAATACCTAATCAAGAAATACCACTTAGAAACAAGGAAGATCAAGGAAGCACTGGAAATAATAAAGCAACAAATAACAGCTATAGCCAGTAAAATCAGTAGATAT